ACAAAGTGTCTGTCTGTTTAAGCAAAAAAATGCTTAGATTCAGCCAAAGATCTTGTCACTTAGTTCTTCACATTAACATTTCGACGAGCATTTTTTGAACTGTGCTTGTTGTCAGGCATGAGAGCAGGATCAGTAGTCTTGTCTTTGGCTCAATGTTGACTGTATTAGGAAAAATAAAAGACCCAGAGACAGATATTAAGCATCAAGCTTCAAACTGAAGAGCAGAAAAGCAAAGCAGCTGGACACCAGCTCTTACTCTACCTCAGACTGAAGTGAGATCCTGGTTCCACAAAGCCTCAGACTGTAACCTCTCCTCAGCATGGCTGGAGAATCCTGAGACTTCATTGTCTTCCTATCCTCAGTGTGGCTGGAGAATGAATGCTTGATCTGAGACCTTGTGCCTATCATAATATACCTCTCATGAGTCCTGGGACTAAAGGCGTGTGATCCCAGGTGCTGAAATCATCTTTGTGTGGACTGTTTCTCTTTAGGACTGGGATCGATTTCGTGTAGCTCAGTGCGGTCTTGAACTAACAGAGGTCTGTCTACCTCTTAATCCTTAGTCCTGGAATTAGAGGGGTGTACCAACTCTTCCTAGCTCTACGGTTGCTGGGATTAAAGGTACGTGCCTGGCTTCTTTAGCTTGTGGCTGGCTTTGCTTTCTGAATCCTCAAGCAAGCTTTAATAACTCACAAATAATCTATCACCACAGCTGACAGACACTCTAAACAGTTTCAGGTACCATCTCTGCAGGTGGCTTGTTGTGACTCACTTTCTGTGGGGAATGTAGCAGAAATGGTTGCTATTGCCTGACTGAACCATATCACCTCTCCAACTATAATTCTATAGTAAAAATGTGAATACAAACATAATTCCCTGCTGCATACATTTATCCTCTTATTTTATGTGAATTCCACTTATGCAGGTGTACAGGAATGAGTAATAAACCTTCATAGAAATAGCCATGAAATTCTATGTCTAAGATTGAAAGATCTCATCATCAAAATATCCAATACTAGCATCAGAGAGGTAATTAGCATGCTCAGATGGGTGAACAATAAAACCTTATGCAGGTGCCTATTAATTTCCCATGTTTTGTATAGCTTTACTCTTAGTGCAGAGATATCAACAATTAGACCATTACTTCCTCATTGCTCAGACTTTGTATGGCACCATAGTAAGGTTATGCACAAGAAACATACATTCTTTATCCTTATTTGATAGGCTCCAATTAGTGCCTCCCATTAAAAATACATATATTTAAAATACATAAAGATATATAAAATATATTTATACATAGGTATGCTATGTATAATATACCCGTGAGCATTTGTATGCCTTACTCAGTTTATCTTGTTGTTGTAACTATTGATGCGCAGAATTTGGACACTAAGAAAGCAGAACTGCTACTTTGTGACAGTGAAAGCTAACTGACAATGGAAATAACATTGTATTTCATCAGAACTTACCAAAAAAGTGAGGAAGCCTGGGTGTCTAAAGAAGGATGTTGTAAAAGGACCCTGGTAAACCTTCATTCAGTCAAAGGTAAACATGTTTGCAATTCTGTGATGACATTGGAAGCCTTGCTGCTTGTCTTGGAACTGACAAAGGAGGTCTATGGCTTTTCAAGTTGCCTTTCGGAAGAGAAGGCTTTATGGATTCACCCTTTCAATTGTTATGAGAGTCTTGTGTAGTGCATGAAAAAAATATGTCTCTTTGCACCATCATGGTTCCTATAGAGACAGGAAGAATCCACCCACTGTGATTCTAGTCCACAGAGGTTTGAGTATATCTCTGTTTCTGTGCCTGAAGAAGCCATACACAAAATGAAATCGTCCAATGTTAAGGAAGAACAGTTAGTACTTTTGTAAGTAGTGGGACATACTTGGAACCACAGCTACATCAAAATACAGATTGTTGTAGCTTTGTGAATTTTCATTTTGTTTCAGTCTTCAAACAATCAAGAGATTTAGTGGTAAATGAACAGGCTGTTTCTGATTATTGACTGTGGACAAAAAACTTGAAATTAATTCCTTTAGTCATAAATCCTTTAGTCTGATTTCCCAGGCAGTGGGAAAATGAACTTGAATGATAAGGCCTAAAATATTGGATATTATCTAGAAATAAAGACATTTCATCCCTAAGCACAGGTTTGGAGACGTGTAGGAGCTATAGGGATGTAGAAACCCTGAGACTTGTTGATTCATCTGTTGTTGGACACCGGGCTGGTCTCCTAATTTAGTTACTACTGATAACAGTTCTGCAGTAAACATCGATATGTGATTATCTCTGTGATTGGGTAAATATGCAGGGGTAGTATAGCTGGGTCATATTGTAGATGTATTTATTAGCAAATTAATGAAACATGATTTTATTAGTGATGTGCTCCATTCCCACTTACTTGGAAAACAAATGAAATACAGACTGAAAGTCTTCAGGTCAATGTTACATTTCTTCTACCTATTTTTAAAATACCCCCTTTAAAAATAATGATTCTTTTAAAGTCTTTTGCAGCTTCAGACATGGATACAATGTACCTCGATCACATCCATCCTCTGCTGTCTCCTCCAGCTGCCTTCTGCACCCCTCATCACGTCTGGCTCCCACTTCCCATGGCTTTTGATTCACACACTTAGTTCAGTTAGTGTTGTCCGTGTGGGCACAGTCGTGGGGTCACCCACTGGGGAATGAGCAGAAAGTGACTCTCAGATCCTCAGCAGCCATCAAGTGTCAAAATCTCCACTAGTAAAGAGCAAGAGCCTCTTTAGCTCACTCAGTGTAGGATCTGGAGACATCCCGGTATGTCAAATTACGGGAGCTATTGTTACTTCTCTGCTCACATCCTTTTCATGATTTTCTGACTCTGTCATAGGTTTACAAAACCATGCTGTACAGGTAACACAGTTTTTGTCTGTCCATGCTGTGTCTAGTGGACATCATCTTACAGCATTCCCTCCCCCCCATTTTCAGCTCTTGTCTTCTTTCCATATCTCTTATGAGACGTTGGCTGAGCCTTGGGTCTAAGAAGGGTCGGTACAAATGAGCACTGAGCAATAGATGGGGCATCTACATTGTTAGATTTTTTTGAGATACTTCCACGGTACCTGGACTGGTTTATGTTTCTACCAGCATAGTGTAGGGGGTTCCCTGTGTCCATATCTTTGCCAGAATTTGTTGCCAATGATATTTTTAATGACTGATATTCTCAGTAGAGTGGGATGGCATCTTAATGTCGTTTGATTTTCATGTTATAACTTAATTGTCTTTGTTTTCACGATGACTAATAAAAGAAGTGAATGATGATTCCCTTGAATTTGTTCCTTTTAAGTTGAGGGGAAAGCATCTGGTCTTTAACAGTTCGTTATTATTTTAGCTATGGTGTCTCCATGCACTCCTTTTCAGAATAAAGAAGTTAACTTGTGTGTCCAGATTGTTGCGTGTTTCTCACGAAGAAGCATTAGGCTTGTCTGTCAATTGCTTTAAATAGATGTAAGGAGAAATTATATTTTATTTATTTAATATGTCATATTACATTTATTGATTTTGCATGCATTCATACTATTGTACTCCTGGAATAAGCCTCACTTGCTCACAGTATTTGTGTTGTCTGTTTACAGGTTCTGGTTCCTGGTATTGTTGAGACTGTGCACTTACATACAGAAGGATAATGGTCTATAGTTTGTATTTCCTGTGATGTCTTTTATATAAATGACACTGACCTCACAGATAGGACTTAGGAAATGCTATCTTTATTATTCTTTTTTAAAATTTCTATGAAAAAATAATTAATTCTTCCTTTTAGACTCTGATATAATTTATTAAAATAACAATGTGGTCTATAACTATCATTGTTAAGCTTCAAATTTACTAATTTATTTTTTATATACTATCAATCTACTTAGATCCTTTTAATGAATCAGTAGATTTGGTACTAATTGCAGAATTCTCACAATTCTTTACATATCTACTAAATTTGGGATGATGTTCCTTTACAAGGCTAATTTTGGTTATTTGAACATTTTCCTCTTGTGTAGGTGTGTGTGTGTTAGCGTCTCTGTGAGCCTGTGCAGTAGCTATAGGGGTGGGTATTAGGTGTCCTGTTTTATCATTCTCTGCTTGTTCCCTTGAGACAGGGTCCCTTATTGAAACAGGACCTTCAGAGTCAGCCATCAAACTTCAGCAAACTCCCTGTTTCTGACCCTGCAGCTCTGGGTTGCAAGAGTGTGTGCATCCATACACAGCTTCTTACATCTGTGGTGAGAGTTCAAACCCTGGTCCTCAGCCTTGTGTAGCAAATGCTCTTAGAGGCTGAACCATCTCCCCAACTCTTCAGCACCCTCTCTTCTGTTGACCAGCTGGTCAATTGAGCTAAGATTTGTTAATTCTGTTATTTTTTTAATAGAAAAATCACGTTGGCAGCCATTAATTTTATCTATTATTTCTCTATTTTTGATAACTTACAAATGTTCTAATCTATAGTACATCATTTCTTGTGCTTGCACTAGTGTTTAATCACCTTTCCTTTAAAATAAGTGATTAGTGATAAAATGTAAATAATTGATGCAAATATAAGTGAAAAATTGTGTTCCATTTAGGAGAAGCTCTCAACATTAAGATTCAATCCAAAAATTGGACTCATAGAGTTAGCTATGAGATATCATTTTCCCTGTTATTTTGTACCACTTCCAGAACTGGAATTTGAGCAATTACAGTTTTTAAAATCGGGCTTCTATCCGTGTGTTTGCGCATAGCTTTTATCCCAGCACTTGGGAGGCAGAGGCAGGTGAATCTCTGTAAGTTGGAATCCAGCCTGCTCTACATAGCGAGTTCCAGGACAGCCAGAGCCACAGGGTAAACACCCCATCTCAAAAACAAACAAACAAAAAGTAGCTAAGTAAGTAAGTACATAAATAATCAGATTTCTAGTTGAGAAATTTCCCTGAATTTTGCTTCAGCTAACTGCACACTTCAGGACCACGCACCTAATTCACATGTGCCCCTCACACAGATCTCTTCTGCAGTGCTCTGTGGAAGGCTTCTTTCACCTGGGCATTCCTCAGGCTGTAGATGAGGGGATTCAGCATTGGGTTAAAGAGACTGTGAAACAATGACAAAATTTTCTCCTGCTCCTCTCGTTGGTCAGAGTCAGGAACCATGTAAACCAACATGGCTATCCCAAAGAAGAGCCCTACCACGCAGAGATGGGAGGAACAGGTGGAGAAGGCCTTCCTGCGGCCCTCCTTTGACTGCATTTTTAGGATTGTCCTGAGGATGTGTAAGAGACGAGCATTGAGCAAAGAGGCCCAACTAAGACAAAAACACAGGCAGCAAGGATGACAACTTGGTTAATCAAGGTGTCAGCACAAGCCAGCTTGAGAACAGCCAGGATTTCACAGAAGAGGTGGTTCACCTCCCGGGGCCCACAGAAGGGCAGCCTTAGCAGGAGAATTATGTGAGCCATGGAGAGGATAAACCCACACGACCAGGAAGTGGCAGCCAGGGCTACACACAATTTCCAACTCATGACGACGGTATAGTGCAGCGGGTGGCAGACGGCCACAAACCGATCATAGGACATTGCTGCCAAAATCAAGCACTCTGAAGCTGCAAAGGCCAAGTACAAGAACGTCTGTGTGACGCATGGAACAAAGGAGATGTTTTTTTTCTGGGTCGCGAGGTTCGCTAGCATCTTGGGGACATTGTTGGAAGCGTAAGAGATGTCAAGGATGGCCAGGTGTGAGAGGAAGAAGTACATTGGGGTGTGCAGCCTGGGGTCCAGGTAGATGAGCCCCAAGATTATGCCATTTGTCAGCAGGCTGAAGATGTACAACAGGGAGAAGACCCAGAAGAAGAGCATCTCCATCTCTGCGCTGAGCTGGAGTCCCACCAGGATGAATTCCGTGACCCATGTCTGGTTGTCTCTCATTTCTTTATGACAGCGGACGTAGCAGTGACATGCGGTGGTAAGCCCAGAACTGGACAATCAATGAAAACTGGATTTATTTATGTCAAGACAAGGGCAGGAAACAGTTCAGTGCTTCCTCTTATTTCACACTTCCTGACAGCCATCTGTGTTTCTGAACCTTTACTATGAAGTAAGTTGAAACATTAAAATATGTATATGCGAAATTATTCAAAGACCCCTTATGTCCCTTCACTCAGATTTAGCATATATCGATGCCTCTGCTGTTTATCTTCTACTCTTTGTCTCTGTACACTTAATGTTTTCGAACCATTTGAAATCGCCGCCCCATTATAATTGTAAAAACAATCAGGAGATGTAATGCTTATATGTTTGTTTTCTCTAATATCTCCACCCACACAGGACCTAGCCTGAGATTTAACATTATATTTAATATGACCCTTCTTAGCATCTTTGTAATTTGAATGTGTCCTTGGTCTTTACATGTTTTCCTTATATTGACATTTTGAAGAGTAAATAATAAATAGTAGGATTGAAAATATACTGTATTTCCCATGTATTGATTCAGATTACTCATTTTCTGCATGAAGTATACTTAACCCATTATTTGCAGATGAGGGTGTTAATTTGTTCCCTTGTCAGGACAAAGCTAAGTTGGATGAGTTGATAAACACAGTGAATTTTGATATTTCCATTTTATAGCTCTTATTTTCCCCAATCAGTTTCTTGGATAGCTACTAAGATTGTATATATATATATATATATATATATATATATATATATGATTTTATATGGTAATGATGATTGAGAATATAGTTTTATGTCTGTTAGTTGACCATTATGCAGAAAAATGCTCTATTGATCCATCTCTTTCTGTTTGGACTTACATTGTTAGCCAGTGGATGATATTTCATTATTACCATTTGTTTGATGCCTTGTTTTCTGCATGAGGCCCCTCCAAGCTTCTTCTCTTGTGTCTTTAGCCTACTTTGGATTTGAACTCTCCCTTACTTCTGTTGAGAACAGAAGTTTCAGACTCATCTATTGATAGTCAACATTTCATTCATCAACCAACATCTAGACTTTATTGGACTCTGTTTAAAAAGATTTAATTTTTATTTTTACATATATGAATGCCTGCATTTATGTATGTGTGCCATAAGGGGGTCAGGTGCCCAGGGCGTCCAGAAGAAGGCATCAGATCCCTTGATCTAGGGTGCTGAGAATGGAACTCATGTGTTGGGGAAGTCCTGTGCATTTGTCAATAAAGTACTGTCTGGCCAATGGGGAATCTAGATAGGAGGGACTAGGAGTCCAGGAGGACTCTGGGTAGGAGAACACAGAGAGTTCGAGATGTAACGCCATTGGGGTAGGAAGCCCGGAAACCTCTCCGGTAAGAGACATACTTAGATTAACAATTATGAGGTAATTACTTAAGGTAGAGCTAGCCAGTAAGAGACAAGCAAGGCCAACAGCTTCATAATTAATACAGCGTCTTGTGTGTTTATTTGGGGACTACAAAGCGGCAGAGCCCAGGTGGCTGGCGGGTGATAAACCAAAGCGGCTAGCAAAGAAAAAGCGTCTCTTAACACTCATGTCATCTATAAGAGCGAGAAATGCTCATAACCACTGAGCAAACTGTTCAGCCACCTTTATTAGAGTAAATTCTGCTTTATTTAGTGCTGAAGTTGCACCTAGTGCCTTCTATATCTAAGGAAGTTCCCTACTCTGAAACTATAGTTTTAGTCCAGTAATGTAAGTTTTATCCTAAGCATAGTATTCATTTCTGGTGTCCTTCTGTATGAAGGACAAAAGGATAAAAGGAATTTTATACATTCTCAAGATTCACTCTGAAAACTGTATATGCAGAACTGGTTCCAATTATGAAGTCAAATCTTCTTAGTAAATTAAATCAAAGAAAATGTTTATTATATACTTTAATATCTTATTTTAATACAAATATGTGTTTGTGATTTTATAAACATATTAATCAGTGGGTTTTCTTATCATCTGTCTTTTAATCAATTCTAGAAAACTATATACTCTTGAGTAATTTAGATTTAGAGATTAATTTTCACAAAGTGATCACTGATGATAATTCTTATTGTCTACCATCTATTTATATTATGGATTTAAAAATCATAATATGCTTTTATTCAATTATGGCTATCCTTTGTAGATATACAATGAACCATTTCCCATGTCAAAATATTTGCCTGTAACACACATTGACCTGAATCTATTTATCTACATATGAAAACATCTATCTCAAATTAGCTCAAAGTCAAAACAGCAAGATATCTAGGCATATTCAGATTATCACAATATCTGTGGCTTCAGAAGGGTGTTTAATCATTGTCTTGTAATGATAAATTATTGCTTCATTTTTATAGTGAATACCAGAGAGACAGTAGTTCTTCATACTTTGATGAAACCTGCCTGAAATCAACCTTCTTAGGATCATCTTTACTTGGCATGATATCGATGCTAAGAAAAAATAATACATTTACCTGGAACACCATTCATTTTGTTTGTCTTTTGTTTTCTTGAGACAGGGTTTCTCTGTGTAATAACCCTAGCTGTCCTGGAACTCACTCTGTACACCAGGCTGGCCTTGAACTCACAGAGATCTGCTGGCCTCTGCCTCCTGAGTCGTGGGATTAAAGGTGTGTGCCACCACCACCCAGTCTGAAACACCATTCTTTTACAAAGCTGAAATGCAACCTAGTTTGTGATGTGTAGCCACCGGTTGCCAGAATGAAATGCCCACCTGTTCTACCTTCATCTTAGGCCCTGAGTCAAGGGAGGTGACGTGTTTATGTGACTTTTGTGTTCCTTAGTCCCCAGGTTCCATGTGGTTACACTTGAAAGAACTATCTTAGTGTCACTCTTTATGTTTCCTTCCTAGATGCCATTCTACCTTGATTAGTAAGAACAAGAGATACATATTTTTATGACAAATCTAATCTAAGTTTTTTTTCAATTCCAGTTACTGACATTAGAAGAAATTCTACTTCAAGGATGAATGACATTTGGAACAATGTGATTCATCATTCACATTCAACAGAAAAGACAGTCTGTAACAACATGGAAACTACAAATGAACAATATTTTTAAACAATCAGTTTTAAAAATACCACTTTTAGTGTTTGAAACTGTACATGGATTTAATTGCATTTTGATCATACTTGGCTTTCAGCAAGGTTATTGTAAAGCATACAATGTATTTCCTCTTATGAATTAAGTCTCTCATGAAGTGTATTGCATATATAAGTGAAGTGTATTGTATTACATATGTCAATTAAGGGATTAAGGGTCATATTTAAATATGCTGTTACCTGTTATGGACTGAATGATAAACTCCAAAGGTATAATTTTATTATATATATTATTTTAGTAGAGTATCTTTGAAGATGTGATTTCTGGTACTTTTCAAAACTTTGAATATTAGAGAGGTTAAATAACATCATATCTGCTTTGAATTGATAGTTTAAGAAGACAACTTCATAGTAAGTTTTTGGAGGAAGCGCTTTATAACTACATGAGAGGGAGACTTGGAGATGCACATATAATTGTCTTACAAAGTTTTCTAATTTCTGTGCTCAGGAAAGGAATTGGTTCAATGAATTTCTTTGAGAAATAAAACCTCAATGAAGGAGAGAGATGAAATAATAGATTCTTTAATTTCTATGAAGGTATTGAATTTATTGAGGAGGACTATATCTAAATGTGCATAAAATTATTTTTAGTACAGTCAGATAATTCTCCCGTATTATACTAAGTAATGAATAATGACATCTGCATTAAATTTACTTACAATTATAGACTTCTAACTTCTTAGCACAAGAGATAACAATACTGTGGAAAATAATTCAAGCCATTAATACCTCATTGGAACATTTGTGTTTTGATTCTTTAGCCTTTATAGTTTTATAGTCTTGTGCCTAGATCAATAAACCTTCATATATTAATTATCATTTCCAACTTGCTACTAAGCATTAGAAATGGAGACAGTATAAAAATGAAGCTAAATTAAAGTATTGAAGGAAATGCTCATGATGGTAATAGAGAAGAAAATACTACAGAATTGGGACCTGAATCTTTGTATTTGCAATAGATTGAATGAAACCACAGCAGCCCACTGAACGAAAGGTCTGAGTAGTTTTTTTCACTAGACCAATACTTCTTAACCTGTGGGATGCATCAGAAAACGGAGACACTTACATTATGATTCATAACAGTAGCAAATTTACAGTTATGAAGTAGCAAAGAGAGTAATTTTATCTTGGGGGTTCTACAACATGAGGAACTATATATTAAAGGGTCACAGCATTAGGAAGGTTGAGAACCACTGCCCAATTCAGTTCTGCCACCAAGAGTATTTACCAAGCTTGGAGTTTGATTTCTCTTTGTCCAGAGTTGTCTGATGGCTCCTTCCCCCCTCCTTCCCAGCTAGAAAACTGCTTTTTAAAAGTACTTTAAGTCTAATACTTATTATATTAGTGTGATGAATTGAAATACTTAAAAATTAAATAAGTATATGATAAATTCATTTATCAAACTGATTCAGAAAACAAATTACTCCAACTGGTATTCAAGTTTTCTTTGACATAGGTGTCCTGGATACTAATTTGTATCTTCATTTAGGCAGTTAGAATATGATTCTCAAGCTTTCTCACTTTTATGACAGTTGTGACACTCTGGCTGCTACCACAACAGAGTAGATGATGATTGGAGAGGGATAACAGGGAATTTTGTGGACCCCTATCTATTGAACAGCATGAGGAGGTTCCATGACAGTAAAGGGACTCTGGTGTCCTTTCTAACTACTTTCAGTGCATTCTGAGTCAGGGTGGAAGATCACTCAGGTATGACATCCTTTTGATTCGGCTACAGTGATTTCTACTGTCATACTCTTCTGTTTCAACTACCCACAACAAAAGCCACTTTCCAGTTCAAATGAGTCTCTGTAGTATACAGAGATGTTAGTTCTGAATTTTCTC